ACATTTGTCCCGTCAAAAATGAAAACTTCATTTATTCGGCGCCGCTTCATAAAAATTATATGGGCATGGGGATCTTTGAAAGTTCTTTGACGCTTGACGAGCCAATTTAGGGATGGCTGTTAGAACTAAAAAAAAAATGATCGAGAGCCGGTCTCTCGTCGCTGTATATTCGTATTAGTTGCAACTTTGAATTCGTAAAAAAAGCTTTATCCCATTTTGAATGCTACTAAATATATCATATGCCACATTTTAGCTTGAAACACATTGGACACGACGGGCGGCCGACCACAGCTGTAAAATTATTTTAACACGTACTTTTATGTAGATAAGTATTTTGGCGACGACACGGCAACACCGCGACTAGCCAAAAATGTAGCCGTGGCCAGATTAGATCTATTTCTAATTTTCTAGCGACTGATAAGATTCTTCCTCTTCTTTTATGTCGGACTCAAACAAAGTCATGGTGTTGCTGCCGCGTTCAAAAAATACATGTCCCCGACCACAAAACGTTAAGAATATGTAGATAAAACCTTAATGTCGTGTCGTGTGGTGACGTCGTTTTCGATGTTTTCAGAGCTTTGTGTACATACATATATACTTTTCGCTCACTTTGACCTGCTAAGCTTCCACATGTTTCTCTTTTTTCTATATTTTTTAAGTACGTTTGCAATAGGACTGCTTTTGATTTCTTCCTTTATTTATTGAGTAGAAGCATAAAATGGTGTGTAAAGTGTTTGTTTTCTATTTTTTAATTTTGTTACCCGTTTTATTTTCTGCAAGGATCGTTTTGAAACTTTTATCACAGAATTTTTTTTTTAATACATAGTTATAACACACGCACATTTACATAGTAACACACATATATGATAGTATGTATATTTCCTTTGCATTTAAGCTTTTATAAAATTGCTTATGGTTTTAGCTAAATACATTAATGCCAGTCATTTTTTTTAATTTTATATTTGTAATATTACAGTGAGATATTCTTAAATGTTATTGTGATTTGTGCAAACATTTTGAATTCTTGTGATAATAATTACAACTATTTAAGCAAAACTATGTGTGAAAACTTCTTTATTATTAATTAAAAACAAACCTACTAAAATACAGAGAATGAATCAGATGCCGAGATTAATAATTGTACTCAAAAAGCCTTAAGCGCGCACGTCTCATGCATACGTCAAACGAAGTTGAAGAGCACCAAAATATATGAAGATGCTCACATAAAATGTTTAATTGAAAAGTGTTTTCCACGTACCACATAATCTATTAACATAATTTTTGAACTAAAGATAGTCTTACTAATTTCTGTGCAAGTTCACTGTGTAAAACGTAACTTAGTAAAATTTTTGGCGCCTTTAACGGGGTCTTGAATACTTGCCTTACCATTATTAGCAAATTTCTACGCATCCTGCTATGCGCTTCATGATAAGGATTGCCCTTTTACATAACTAGAAGATAATTTAGTGTAAAAAACATGTTTTTCGGATTATGACATACGTGAACGTACTCTTTGCCACACTGAGCTTATTCTGCTTGACGTATCACGTAATTTTCTTTCGTATCGTTTTCGATCCGTGAACGGATGGTACGATTCGAGCCCAGTATTCATAAAAACGAAGCATATCCCCCCAAGTGTAAGATAGAACTAAAAGTTTGTGCTTTGAAGAAAAAGGTTCAATACTACTATTATACCTGTTTCGTTTTATTTCCGTTGAATCTTTACGATCCACAAAGAGTAATATTTCCGTATCTGATTTTTGAGTTGAGTCCCTGATTGTAGAATTTTCAAATCGATTCATGACATGTCTCTCCCATATACGCAGTCCCCAATGAGCAGTTTCTCCAGGTACCGATTTTTTTTCCTTTTATCTATTATTTATGTATTTAATTGAATGATTTCATATCATCTTGCGTTTTAAGGTCAGCAGTAGTATAAACCGTAATACTACATCCTCAAGTGCTGTTTTATTTTGCTGAAATTATCTAATTTTTTGCTAATAATGTATGCATGTCTATGGCATATGAGTGACGGTTTTTGTTTGGTCCCACACGGCGTATGAGCGAGTTATTGTATGTTCGATGTGTGAAAAGTAACTGTATTTTGTGTATCTGTGATTCATGTTGATGTTAACCTCCTAACTCCATATAACACCCCGCCCCCCCTCTAAGCCTCTAAAAAATTTGAAACGTAGTTTCGCAATTAATTTGACCATAGCATCGACCTGTACACGCCACTAAAAATTCACTGTTACGCAGTGTTGTCTTCTATTTTCATGAACCTATTGATACTCGTTTTCTAAGAAGCTCGTGAAGAAAATTGCGATGCAATTTGGCAGAGCATTTATATGAAATATTGCAATCAAGATGTCAGCAACCACTAGTTTTTGGCATTAAATTGTCTTTGAACAAGTCCACGGAAGCATAAGGTATCCAAAGATTTTCCGTAAGGCAGCGAGAAAGAAAAATCAACTTTTTATAGAAATCTCTGACGTTGCATATTCAAGGAATTGGCGCGCTGATTCATTCTCATCCATTTTTCTTAAATTTAATTAATATCTTTATTTGAAATGTAGATCACTGTCTACATTTTTAATATCTTTTTCACAACTGTTTTCATTAATAAATAGTTGTCATACAATTATTTTGCATCTTCTATTTATTTTAATAATTTACATTTTTGCGAATAATTTTTGTCTTAAATACTCGTATATGCCGAGGAGTTTAAACTTTAAGCGTAGTTATCAGCTGTCAAGACAAATAAAAAATGTATAGAAAATGCTCAATAAATTAAAAAAATTCTTAAAACAGTTTGCAGCTCTCAGGAAAAAACGCCTCTATATTTACACTCACGGCAAATAATATGGGCACAGAGAATTTTTCACAATATATACAAACATTTTTATTAAAATTTCTTTTCTGCTAATTTATTACAAAATTCACAAAAAAAAAATCAAATATACTTTCGAAACTTTTTGCCAAAACTCAGGAGAATTCAACAAATTTTAAACTTTTCAATCAGATTTTTTAAACCATACCGGAACAAATCTTCTCTAAACTGTTCGCGGAGAATGGAAGTGGGAACAAAATTTTTCCCTTGTTTCAATATTAAAATTTATCAAAAAAGACCTGAAAGATAACTATACAAATTAAGTCAACAAAAGACTTAAAACGCGAACTTTTTGTCTTTTTTTTGCTTGTTTGGAACAAAAAATGAAAAAACCCTAGTGATACTGACAGTTGAAATAATCCAGATTTCCTCTGATTTAGAATCAAAAGTCACGATTCTCACGCAGACGCCGCTCCAAAGTGGTTCCTAACTGGAATTAAGTGTTCACAATTCACTGGAGCCTTAATTTTTCACTCAATTTGATTAATATTTTTTTAACCGAAAGCTAATAAAAATTTCAAGGGACTAGTTGGCGACCTAGTAATTGATGTCCAGAGCGTACTTAAATTATGGAGGGAACACTTTTCCGCCCTACTAAATGGTAGCAGCACGGAAAGTTGTGGAGAAGAAGAACCCGAGCCCACAGTCGATGATGACGGAGTCGACGTTCCACCGCCTGACTATGACGAGGTACGTATAGCAATAACGCGGCTGAAAAACAACAAAGCCGCTGGGGCTGACAGCCTGACAGCTGAGCTATTCAGGTACGGCGGCGAGGAGTTGATAAGGTGCATGCATCAACTCTTGTGCAGAATATGGTCAGAGAGTATGGCCCGCCGACTGGAATTTAAGTATGCTCTGCCCAATCCACAAGAAAGGTGACCCCGCCATTCGCGCCAAC